CTGGTGAGGAAATACGCCCTTCCAAAAGCAGCCATCTTCATTAGCCTCAGTGGAAGGACAAACAACACATGAAAAGCACTATACTTAAACAGGGAAACACGTCCACAAGGAGTTTTTTTCAGAATTAGAAGTGTAATGGATTTGAGATCAACCCCACTTCTCCTTGCCTCTGCACAGGACTTTCTGAGAGACAAGGGATGTTGGGCCTTCAGGCAAACAACCAGGCTGCTGGTGAAGACACAGCCAGAACAAGGTGTGGAAAATGACTGACATGACCTGAGAAAATTGTTGTGTGTGAAAGATAGAGTGGAAAGCTGACAAAAGCTGTGAGCAGCACTCTGAGGGAAGGCAGGAAGTGACAGGCGCTTAAGGAGAAGCGATGTGAGAAGGAACATCACGGGTAACTGGAGTGGAACATGGAGACCTTTTGGTGAGCAGACTCTCACAAGGTCAGCAGTGCCTACATAATTATATCGGTGATACCAGATAAATTGGTAATGGTACCAGAAATAACAAATGTGGGTACAAGCACACACAAAATTAACTGGTGTCTTTTTTGGGTACTTCTAACAAGAACAGACACACTACAAAATCTTATTGGGAAGCTTTTACACTTACCGCTTATTGGCAACAAGTAAGACTTTCCCTGAGAGAGTTTCCCCCTCTTTAGCAAAAAGGGGCGTCTGAAGAAGGCAGCGTACTTGGTACCAGTGAGTGAGAGGTTCTGTCGGTGCAGTGGACAACCAAACAGTAACCCTAAAACAAACCAGAAAAACTATCATCTAGACTTTCTGTCCCTTTTGGAAACAATTTTAAGTTGATAGACCTTTATGTATGTGAGGTCTCAAGTGCTTATAATAAACTTTAAACTGCCTTCAAGTAAACTTGGAGAGCAAGCCTACCCTATGTTGGAAAATACATTATGCCTCATTTTCTTTCTTTAGCCATACTGTGCCTGTCACCACCACATCCATGTGCCTAAGCCCATTATGGAGATTCAAAAAAGACACTCTTCAGACTCCTGTTTTCTATTCTTTCCACACCACCAGGACAGAGAATACTAATTTCTCGCTCCTCTTAGCACTCAATTTCAACAAATTACAGCAAATGAAGTTTTGTCCTAAATGTGGCAACATGATTCTTCACAATGGCAGTTTCACCCTTAAACAACACTCCCAAGAAGGTCCTATACCCAGTTTTCACTTGCAAGAGATATTTCAATAATACATTGAAAGGAGCTGTAGGTGCAACGAAAGGGATAACACCGGTAATACTGTGAGCCCAATCCACTGAGATTTCAAGTGCTAAGACAAAGGCCTTCCAGAGTTGTAGAAACATGAAAGAGCTACTGATTAAGCAACTGCCTACTCCAAAATAGAGGCCTTCTCTGTGGAGGACTTCAGTCAGATCCTACAAATCTGCAATTTTCTCTTGTTTTAACTGATGTGGAGTTTTTGGTACCTTTTCAAGATGAAAAATTTTACTATCAGCTGTTAAATACATATGTCCATTTTTTAATGGATATACTATTCTGAATTCTTGACAATACTCATTTCAAAGGCTAATAAAAGACTTTTATCAACAGAAATAAATAGAAGTGCATTGTACAATTTATTGAAAAAAATCACCTCATCTAAAACCAGAGCAATTTAACTGGGAAATCAACAAGTCTTATCTAAGAGCTAAATACAGATAGCTGAAATCTATGTATTGACTGCTGAGCAAGTTTATCTAATTTTCACCTACTTACCATACGAGATGAATGTCCCCATTTTGAAATAAATGCCTGGTGCTACAATGAAAAATCATCCCAAGCCTGGTGAAATTTTCTCAATTTCCATTTTGTTAGCTGGAACTTGCAACCTGCTCTCCTTTTTGCCCGCAAACAAGACCAGCCCAAATGGGAAAATCCAGCCTATGTTCAAATGCTGCTGCTTTACTTACAATGTAAAACACAAAAGCCTGTAATATTTTGCTTCCAAGCAAAATATTACAAAAGCAATACTGTTTCTTAACCAAGAAACAGTATTGTGTGGAACAGTGCATTTTGACCCTCAACAATTCCTGGATGTGGTCCACCATAGGTAATATGCACTCCAATCAATTAGAAGCAAGTTCACCACCACCTAGTTATACTGCTAGCACTAGGTTATCACACTTCTTGTTACCTCTAGAAGGCATTATTTCTTTAATATCAAGGAATTACATTACAAACAAGGTCAGCACCAGATAAAGGTCTGGCACACTTTGTATGAAAGATGTGATTTTTTTTTTTCTCCTGTAGGTAGTATTCCATAGGAAGAAGGAAAAAGTACTTACAGTGATCCTACAAATGCCACATCAAACCAGAAGGCCAGGCCATGGACTAGTCCAGACTGTATCATTTGGAAAACAAAAGGGATTTCCATTCTGCAGGAGAAAAAACAATATGCTGCCAAAGTAATTTCCAAAAAGTACTGGAAATTCCACCAGAAACCTACTTTATACTAATTTATGTATTTCCATTCTTATTAATCAGTTTATGTCTTAATTTTCTGTATATTTTAAAGGATATGCTCTTTTTGTCTATGTCAATAGAATTAACCAATGGCACTGATTTAGGTGTTAAGTTTTTTGTGCACCTTATTCAACAGTAGAATCAAATATGCCACTACACAAGTGTTACTGCATCATTTGTGGCAACACTGCAGACTGTTATAAATACAGGGGTTCAGTCTTTCCAATGGAAAGTTTCCCATTCCCAGTGAAGGACTTGGATTTCGTTTAAATAATATTTTGAACAGGAAAATGTTTCACTACAAATTTGACAAACAGATCTACTACTGGAACCAGAAGGAAAAATTGAGCTGCTTGAGCAACAGCTGGAATATTTTCCCTTCCAAAAGAACTGTTACTGGCTATGTAGTTGAACCCAAATCTCACCCACTCTTGCAGAAACATATCATAAAATTAGCATTCAGGTATGAACATGTTAGTTCTGAGAACCACTGAAGGAAGTCAGTGCTAGCTAACTGAATCTGGAAAGCCATTCTCCAGCTGTTCCTCCTTCTTAGACCAATTATTCTCTCTCACTAGACCATGTCATTTATACAATTACTTGTGAGTCATGTTGAAACAACAAGGGTTCAGAGTTTCAAAGACAGTCTGTGATATTTTCCCCTGATGACAATGTCTTTCAAGGACTTGAAGTACTCCCTCAAGTTCTCCCATATGGTGCATTTTATTTGACAGATGTACTAAGAAGGCTTCTCTGCTGTCATTCTGGGACACAAGGGATGCAGGTTAGTTTATATATAAGATTTTCCAACTCAAAATTTGAAAGAGCTCTGGAGGGAAACAAAGAAGTACAGCTGGCTCCTATTACACTGGTAAATGTTTAAAAAAAAGGAGATATACAAGAGTTCTGCAAGACAGCCTGTGATGACACCATTTGACAAGGTCTTTCAGGATGTCTACAGAGAAAAAACCAAAAATTGCCTTGTAACTAGATTTAAATGTGTCCCAAATTATAGTGCTATGAAATAAACAGTGTCCTCTGGAGCCCATTTTATCCCTTTCAATAGGAAAATTTTGTGAACAGCTCTCTGGTGTTTCACAGGCTCACAAATAGGCTTCTTTGCTAATACTAGACCAATTGTATGCAGATGAATGCTCCAGTCCATTACGAGCAGTGTACTAGTCATTCTGGCATGCCACCTTCCTTCCTCCATGTCCACCACCAAAGCTTCCTCTGTCTCTGAGTACCAACGATCAACAGCCAGTTACAAAAATTAAAGATTAAGAGTAGGTTGCTGTCATCTGCTGACCTATGCAAATCTTCCTCAGCAGCTTCCAAGAAGTTAACGGTGTACTTCACTGTCCGGGCCATCAGAATTCTCACATCAAAAGTATCCTATGAGGGAAAG